GAATTATATACAATTAGGTGTATTTATAAATATAATGTAAATGTTAGTCTTTAAGAAGAGGAGATGATCGGCCAGTACCCCTAAACTGCATCCGAGGTGGTGGAAAAGAAGGTGATGGGATGTGTAGGATAGTAGGAAAGGAAGAAAGAGGAGAGGTTGTGGTTAAGAGGGGGAGGAAGGAAGAGGGAAGTAGGTAGGAAGGTTGAGGGAGTGTGAATGCAGGGGGGGGACCGCCGATTATTTCTGAATACTTACTGAGTAGGCTTGTTATGTGTTTGTTTTTCTAATGAAATGCACCATATTTGTATTATTTGTTTATATGTTTATTTAAAAAGTTAATAAAAATTTGTAAAAAAAAAAAAGTTGGAAGGGACCTTGAAGGTCATCTAGTCCAACCCCCTGCTCAGGCAGGAAACCCTATACCATTTCAGACAAATGGCTTAATGGGCTTTGCCAAGTCTGACATCATAAATGTGAATTTTGGTATTTTTGTGAAACACTTGAAGACTATAGGTTTATTCTATAGATACTGTATTGGAAATATTCTATAAATTCTATAAATATTTTCAAATATTTGAATAACCAACTAAATCATCGCTCAAGGTTTTTAAGAAGAGACTGGACAGCCACTTGTCTGAAATGATATAGGGACTCCTGCTTGAGCAGGGGGCTGGACTAGAAAACCTCCAAGGTCCCTTCCAGCTCTATTCTGATTGATTAAAAGGAAGACAAATGTGTTGTATCCAAATGTACTATTCAATCCTAGCCAGTTTGATTAGTATTGAGCAAACTCAGCTTAAACATAAGTATATTGTGTAGATACAAACTATTTGATTAGTTGCAAACTCACATAAATCAGAATGAACTATAATGAAGGATAATTCATATTTTATAATGGAGATCCTTTTGACACAAATGTTGAATTTGTTCAGCAATATTTGTGATTTTCCAGATGTTTTTTAAATATTTTCAGAAATGTATTTCAACCTTAACAATCAAGTATCTATAGAACCCATAAATAGCCTCTAAGGCAGGGGTCTTCAAACTTGGCCCTTTTATGACTTGTGGACTTCAACTCCCAGAAATCCTCAGCCAGGCAAGTTTGAAGACCCCTGCTCTAAAGCATGACCACAGTCTTCACAGGCCTTAGTGTTTCATTATTTTCTTTTGTTGTGTAATATTAAGGCTACTTAGGTATATAAATTTAGTTGAATCTGAGGAAATTGGCAGAAAATGCCACTAGAACCTACACACAGAATTAGTACCATTACAAACGACCTATTTACAGTCTAGTTTGGAAGAATGAAAACTATAAACAAGCAATACTTCATTACATAGAGCGATGTAATCAGTACTACATAGTTGCTCCTCCGCTTTGAGGGCTATGGATGGGTCCTCAAAACTTGCTCTCTGTCCTGGAAGGAAGAGGTGGAGGTCCCCCCAGGTGCTTGCTCGTTGTATAAATTGTTCAGCCACTTGGATGCTTCCCCTTCCAAGTTGGTCGCAACCATGCCAACCATAGTGGCTGGGTTTGGGGAAAAATAGGCACAGTGGTTCATGTGGGAACGCACTTGGTTGAGGAAGAAGATCAGCTTCTCTGGGTCCCCATCAAAAGTTGTTCTAAGGGGTGGCGCCATCAGCGGTTGCTGCGCTCCCCAGTGAGCCTTCCTTCCCAGTGGTTGCTGGCCTCCTAACTGTGCATGTTGCACCCCCAACGGTTGCTGGCCTCCCCATGGTGGCTGCGGCATCCTCAGGTGCTGCAGGCCTCCCAGTGGTTGGAATATGGTCGGGGGCTGCGGCCACCCCCACGGCTGTTGCTGCACTGCCGGCGGCTGCTGTCCCCCCGGCAGCTCTGGCATCCCCAATTGCTGTAGGGCCCCCAGTGGCCTCAGCATCTCAGAAAGTTTCACCCCCAGTGTCTCAAAAAGTTTCAGCTAGTAAATAACCTTTGCAGTCAGATTTCTTTGACAGACTACTTTGAAGACTGTTGCTTTTACAAATTAGGACATGTATTTTTAGTGCCACCTGCAGCATGATTCTAGAAGTAATAAATGCCACACGTTAGACTTTATCAGAAAGATAAAAAACACATCAGAAGGTTTAACTCTCATTACCCAGTACCATGCAGAAAAGTTAGAGATATCCCAGTAGTGTAGAGTTAATATATTATTTTTTTGGGGGGGGGGGATTTCCAACATTGTATTGCAGAGACCCTGTTTAACACAAAATATTCAGCTTTTGTTAAAGATTTGGAGTTTACAGTGCTACAAAAGGTGGCTCTTTTAGAAAAGTTTGTTCAAGCTTATTTGTACTGATGAAAATTCTTAGAATGTGCACTGCAGGAGCAGCAAAATCCAAAGGAACACTAACATTTTGGAAATAACGGCAGTTGATCAAGCTGGTAAATAATATTCATATTCAATTTTCTAATAGGCATTTACTAACTGGAACAATTCTACTCTTTGCAGTTAGCAATTTCATTTATGGTATCTTTTTTGTGATGCCACATTTTTCTCTTAGGTCTTCAGCTACTTTAAAATTGTAACACAATAGATACAGGTGCTAGACACACAGCCAGTCCTATGAAAATATATTAAAAATGGTTCACATGTCACATCCATTATAGTGCACATTTTCAACATGAAAGTCTCTGGTCTAAACATACTTATCTGAAAGTTCAAAACATTGTGGCCTATATTTCTAAGATTAACTTATAAGTGATTATTTTTAAATGTTTAATTAATTGCTCATTTTTGTTAAAAATGAAAAAAAAATTAATTACATATTAGAGGCTGGAACTAACAAGTCCAATTAAATTATTTGTTGATTACTTCAAAGTATAATGCTCCTGACAGCAGATAAAAGTGGGCTGAAAATATGTGTTGATTTGCATTTAATACTTCAGCAATTTATTTATTTAGGGAAAGTTATTTTTATATTGTATAACTCCTTGACTTAACAATCATTCATTTAGCAATGCTTCAAAGTTATACCACTGAAAAAATGACTTAAACCGCTCTTTGCACTTAAAATTGTAGAAGCATCTCCATGATCACATGATCAAAATTTAAGTGTTTAGCAACCAGCATGTATTTAGGATGTAGTGTCCTGGAATCATATTATTGCCATTTGTGACATTCTCACCTGGCTTCCAACAAGCAAAATCAATGGGGGAGGCCAGATTCATTTAACAACGCATGGTTCACTTAATAGCCATAGTGTTTCGCTTAACAATCATGACAAAAAAGGTCATAGAAGGTTATAAAGTCATAAAAACAACAGCCTTGCTTAGCAATAGAAATTCTGGTCCCAGTTCTGATTGTAAATCTTGGACTACTTGTATCCTTATAGCAACTACCATGGACAGCAATTCCAGATAACAGCTGGTCAAAGTACTGCACTCTAGAAAAAGTGGTTGATTTCATCTACTGGGTACCACAATTCCTGCTCAAGCACTGATAGTGACATACAATTTGAAGATTTATACAACCAAGAAACAAGGATGGAAAACAATGTACACATCTACATTCTGTACTTCTATGTAAAGTTTAGAAAAAATAAATGTTCTCTACACCAGGGCTTTTCAACCTTTTCACCCATTGTACCACTTTTAGGATATGGCAACATCCGAGTACCACCAGTTGCCTAGCAAGGTGTCAAAAACTTGACCAAAAAAAAAAAAAGGAAAAAAGTGATAAAGTACAGGTAGTCCTTGACTTATAACAGTTTGCTTAATGACTGTTCGAAGTTACAATGGCACTGAAAAAAGTGCCCCCCAAGCCACAGCCGAGCAAGACACTTGCCTGCCCATCTGGCCACGCTCTTCCTCCTGTCCAAGGTTTTCATTGTTGTGAGCATTTCTGTTGAGGATTGGCAGCAGGGGTGGGGTGGGGAGTGTTTGGTTTTTATGCCACCCATCTGCTGGGTGGTTGCAGCAGGTTTTGGTCACTTCACATGACCCTGGGACACTGTGGCCGTCATAAATAAGAATCCGTTGCCAAGCATCTGAATGTAAATCACAAGACCCTGGAGATGCTGCAACATTCCAGCTGATCGGCGCTTCTTCTGGGCTCAGAAGTGCCAGGATCAGCGCCAAGCTCCAGCTGGAGCCTGGCGCTGATCCTGGTGCTTCCACTGAGTCCTGATAGCCCCGAAGAAGCGCCGATCAGCTGGAAAGTGGCCCTGATCCTGGCGCTTCCGCTGATCCCTGACAGCCCTGCAGCTCCAGCCATCTCTCGCTCAGGCTTGTGCGGTGCTGCCACGGGTTCAGCTCATTCCCCTCCCCCGCTACCCCTTTTCTAGGATGGTCGCGTACCACCTGCCAGGTGCCAATGTACCACAGGTGGTACCCGTACCACTGGTTGAAAAGCCCTGCACACATATTGACTAAATTGACAGTTACTTTCATATTATTGCCAAGAACGTTGTTTGCTAGTATCTTTCTTCTCTTTGACTCCCATTCTTGGTTACAGCGTGATTTCCTGGTCTCTCTTCCAAACTACAGATCCAGCACTGCTGCCCTCCCCCGTTATTTTATTTTATTTTATTTTAACTCTATTCCATCTAAAGGAGGCCATCGGGACAAGAAAAAAAAAACACGTTATCCCTCCCACGTCTCTTTTCTAGGGAAGGGAATTGTTATTTTGCTGGAAAAACACCCAGCCACCCTAGGCTGAACATCAATATTTCACTTCGTCCAGCTGGCGGGACCTCCCATGTGGGAGGCTGAGGAACTTTTTTCGCTCGCGCAAACCCAAAGCGAACTCGATTAAAATTCGCCGTCGCTTCATAAAACTCCCGCCTCTGCGCCTCTCCAGCCAATCGCAGAGCTGGGGGCCAAGCTGGCTGTTCGCACGCTCGAGGCGCCTAAAAGCGCGGCTGCCCGCACGCTTCACGCGGGTGACGCTTCACCTGCTCCTTTTCGAGTGGACGGGAGGCCGGTTGGTCACGTGCTTCGGCGAAGCCCCTCCCCTTCCTAGAGGAACGAATCTGCGAGGCTGGGTAGATCGCGGCTACAGTTTAGGCGGTTGTCAGGGAGAAGCAAGATGGCGGTGGCGACGACGGAGGAAGATACGGAGCTGAGAGATCTCCTCGTGCAGACGCTGGAGACGAGCGGGGTGCTCAACAAAATCAAGGTGCAAGGGTGCGAAGGGCGGGGCTAAGCGTTAGGGTTGTAGGGGCGGGGGAAGAAAGGCGCGAAGCGCGTGCTTGCACGCTCGAGAGGACGGGAGCACTTGAGAGCGAAGCTGCTGGTTTGCGCGGGCCGCAGAGGAGATCGAGGAGACGTCAAACCGTACCAACCGCCCGTCACGACCGTTCCCGCTTTCACAGGGAGCCGAGCGGGGCAATAACGCTTTGCACCGCCCTCGATGAAAGGCGCATGCGTCGAACTTTTACTAGTGGGGTCGAGAGGTGGAAGGTGTATTCATTATAAGAAAGCCGGGCTGGAATAGATAAAAGGCCTCTGAAGTCCCAACGTTCTGTTTCCATGGTTTCCAAGGGGTGGTCGCGCGTGACTGGCCGTTAGCACTAGGCCGCTACTTCTGGTCCTGCAAATTGCCTATAGCAGTGTTTCTCAACCTGGACAATTTTAAGGCATGTGGACTTCAACTCCCAGAATTCCACAGCCAGCATTGCTGGCTGTGGAATTCTGGGAGTTGAAGTCCACATGCCTTAAAATGGTCAAGGTTGAGAAACACTGGCCTATAGTTATCGGGTAGAGAATGGCAACTGTTAACAGTCGTATCTCCATAAAGCTTAAAGAATGTCTTTTAAAGTTGTGAAGTTGGGGGCATCACGCCGTAAGAACGACTCATTCCTATGCATTACCCGAGAAAGTGCTTCCTTTTGTCTCTCTGCCTTGCCACTTTGGCTGCCCAGTTGCGTTATATCAGTGTTTCTCAACCTTGACCATTTTAAGGCATGTGGACTTCAACTCCCAGAATTCCACAGCCAGCATTGCTGGCTGTGGAATTCTGGGAGTTGAAGTCCACATGCCTTAAAATTGTCAAGGTTGAGAAACACTGCATTTATATGATAGGTCAGTCTTCTCTATCCTGGCCCTTGCACGTGTTGGACAACACTAGGCTGGTTAGAATTATATGGGAGTTGGAACCCTCCATATTTTCGAGGGCATCAGGATAAGAAAGTCTGCCTCTGGTTCAAAATGAAAAGAAAGATTAATCCCTCACCTCATATTTATAATCAATTATTTTTCCTAAGGAATCCAAGGTAATGTATTGGTTATGCTTCCCCAACCTGGCTATCTCTGTTCTCACAACAATCTTATGGTATATAGGCTAAGCTGAAAAATAGTGACTGCCGCTAGATTATCTGCTAAACTTTGTGTCAGAAGAGATACAGGTGTTTCTGTCAATGTGTGCCAGCGTTATAATTTTATATTCCAGGAATACCATGCCTACTGAGTAGTTTTTAAAAAAAAAAAACCAAAGAAGAAAATGGCCCATGAGAAGACATGTAGCTTTTGTGACAGTGCTGCATAGATATTAACATGAAGCCATCAGGAATTGAACCTGAATCCAATGAGATTTTATTTTAGCTATCTTTTTTTTTGTGTTGCTCTTATATTAATAAGGACTAGATTCTGTATCTTTTTACTCTTGGACAACTCTGCAATACCCTTTATAAAATATTTGATAATTAGAATGGGAACATATGACATCCTGTTTGCTGTGGGAATGTAGATAAATGTTACTTTCATTCATAAGAATCTGTTTTCATTAAATCTAGATGCAAGGAGATCCGGGATCAATAAAAATATTTCTTTAGTACTGTACATATTCAATAATGTAGTTCAGTTCTCTTAAGGGCCACTCATTAGTAAGGGGAATTAGGTACATTCATGGAGGACAGGATTATCATTGGTAAAAATAGTTATTCAGCACCAGAATTGAAGACACAATATGCTGAATAAAGCTGCAAAGGAGCAGCCACAGAAGATATTCATCAACTTCATGAATGGCTTGCAGTCTTCCCAGATGAATCTGGATCACCACTGTGTGACAGAATATTGAAATAATGAGGCTTTTGACTTTATCTAGCAGGATTCTTCCTCTGTTTATAGTCTACATAGGAAATTACTCCTCTTTTTCATTATGTATCATTTCATGTTTAATATGAATTGCATTTGTTATATTGTAACTTTAAAAGTTGTATATAGTTTCTGTAAGTCAGAGGTGTCAAACTCGCAACGTCATGTGACGTGTTGTGACTTTTTTTCCATTGCCGGCAATGGGGTGGGCGCAGTTTCACCATGACACCCCTGCTGTAAGAGATCCTGTTTATTACATATCTCAAACATAATTCCTTTCAGTTTAGTTTTATACTCATTTCATATTCTTTAACTCCTTCGTAATCCTAAACTCTTCTCTCTTGTCTAAGTTTACTTGAGTTTGGTCGAAGAGCTTTGTCAAAACAAAATGTTTTTGACATGCCAAATCTATATCATGCCAGATAACTTTTATTCTAAAATAAATTCCATAACTTAATGAAGTAGCAAGACTGGATTCTTTTTCAGTATTTTTTTTCTTTTCTGTCTGATAGCTTTAATAAAAATATTCTATAAATTGGCCAGAACAAAGTTTCCTGAGTCACTTGGTATTGTAAAATTTGACATTATACTATTTGCTTTCCAGTCCAGTGGTATAGAGGTCACACTTGGAACAAATTAATACTTATTAAAAGATTAACAGTTTCACATTTGAATTGGTTGATATTGTCCTTTGGATCTAGTTACCACTATTTATTTAGTTGATTGGTGCAGCTTATATTAGCAAGCATGGGCAGTTTACATATAGTTAAATGTACAAAGGAACTCAGAGCAAAATCCATAAATAACCAGTACATAGTAACCAAGACCAACCAACAGCATTCCTGTTCAAGTCATATATGGATGGGATCATTCAATGCTCTGGGCCAATGCCAAGTTTTCAGAACCTTATGGAAAACAAATAAGGACCATCTAAATTTCTAGGAGAATGCTATTCCACAAGTCAGGCACTGCAACAGAAAAGGCACAGTTCTTGGGTCCTGTTAGATGACATTGTTTGGTAGAAGGGACCTGAAGTATGCTTAGTTTGCTAGGTCTTGTGGGGCAAGCAAAGACAATTGTTAGTAGCTCTGTAAACAATCCAGGCCTATGCCATCAAGGCTTTATAGCTGATGACCAGCTATAAAGCCTTGATGGCACCCCAACGATGCCCTTGACGTGATGGCCCGTTGCCTGGAGGCCGTACGGGTCTGGATGGGAAGGAACAGACTCAGACTCAACCCTTCCAAGACCGAGTGGCTGTGGCTGCCGGCGCCCCGGCATAGTCAGTTGGTTCCATCGCTGTCTATAGGGGGCGAATTCTTGGCCCCCTCAGAGAGGGCGCGCAATCTGGGAG